AAGAAAAAATATATGATTAAATAGTTAATTAGAAGGAAAAAATGAAGAAAAAATATGAAATAATAAGATTAATTAATTAATAAGAAAAGCAAAATTTGAAAATAAAATGGTGAGCTAAATTAATAAAGAAAGAACAAAAAAAAAGCAAGCACAATAAAAAGAAAAAGAAAAAAGAGCTTTATTGTTTTTAATTAGTTTTTATAATTAAAAATATCACAATCCAAATCAAATAAACTGTTTTTACTGAAGGTCAAGTGTCAAATTTGAGAGATTAATGCAATTTGCTAAAGCAGAACCTAAGCCTGATGCACCTTCATCACCAATTTAATTTTCCCTTTTTAAATATTGAAGAAAAAATATATCATTAAATAGTTAATTAGAAGGAAAAAATATGAAATAATAAGATTAATTAATTAATAATAAAAGCAAAATTTGAAAATAAAATGATAAACTAAATTAACAAAGAAAGAACAAAAAAAAAAGCAAGCACAATAAAAAAAAGAAAAAAGAGCTTTATTGTTTTTAATTAGTTTTTATAATTAAAAATATCACAATCCAAAACAAATAAACTGTTTTTACCCAAGATCAAGTGTCAAATTTGAGAGATTAATGCAATTTGCTAAAGCAGAACCTAAGCCTGATGCACCTTCATCACCAATTTAATTGTCACTTTTTAAATATTGAAGAAAAAATATATGATTAAATAGTTAATTAGAAGGAAAAAATATGAAATAATAAGATTAATTAATTAATAATAAAAGCAAAATTTGAAAATAAAATGGTGAGCTAAATTAATAAAGAAAGAACAAAAAAAAAGCAAGCACAATAAAAAGAAAAAGAAAAAAGAGCTTTATTGTTTTTAATTAGTTTTTATAATTAAAAATATCACAATCCAAATCAAATAAACTGTTTTTACACAAGTTTAAGTGTCAAATTCGAGAGATTAATGCAATTTGCTAAAGCAGAACCTAAGCCTGATGCACCTTCATCAGCAATTTAATTTTTACTTTTTAAATATTGAAGAAAAAATATATGATTAAATAGTTAATTAGAAGGAAAAAATGAAGAAAAAATATGAAATAATAAGATTAATTAATTAATAAGAAATGCAAAATTTGAAAATAAAATGATGAGCTAAATTAACAAAGAAAGAACAAAAAAAGCAAGCACAATAAAAAGAAAAAGAAAAAAGAGCTTTATTGTTTTTAATTAGTTTTTATAATTAAAAATATCACAATCCAAATCAAATAAACTGTTTTTACTGAAGGTCAAGTGTCAAATTTGAGAGATTAATGCAATTTGCTAAAGCAGAACCTAAGCCTGATGCACCTTCATCACCAATTTAATTCCAACTTTTTAAATATTGAAGAAAAAATATATCATTAAATAGTTAATTAGAAGGAAAAAATATGAAATAATAAGATTAATTAATTAATAAGAAAAGCAAAATTTGAAAATAAAATGGTGAGCTAAATTAATAAAGAAAGAACAAAAAAAAGCAAGCACAATAAAAAGAAAAAGAAAAAAGAGCTTTATTGTTTTTAATTAGTTTTTATAATTAAAAATATCACAATCCAAAACAAATAAACTGTTTTTACCTAAGGTCAACTGTCAAATTCTTCAGATTAATGCAATTTGCTAAAGCAGAACCTAAGCCTGATGCACCAATTGCACCAATTTAATTGTCGCTTTTTAAATATTGAAGAAAAAATATATCATTAAATAGTTAATTAGAAGGAAAAAATGAAGAAAAAATATATCATTAAATAGAGAAAGTTACTATAAAAATTTACAAAAATTGAGTTTTATATACCAGTTTTTCATTTTATAAAATAAAAATTTGAAATATTATTTATGAAATTTTTTCTATCCTAGATTTTCAAAATTTATTTTTTTTCAACAAAAATGATATTTTATGCTTACTAAAAATTAGCTTTATTTATAATGTTATTTAGAATGAAATTAAATAGGTATTTCACTATTGTTAATTATGAGGAAAAAATATGAAATAATAAGATTAATTAATAATTAATAAAATTAACAAAGAATTAAAAAATAAGAAATCTTAATAAAAATAAAAAGGAAAACAAATCAAATAAATTAAAAGAACTTTAATGTTTTAAATTAACTTTTATAATTAAAAATATTATAATGTAAACAAATAAATAGCTTTTATTAAGTGTAAGTTTTAATAGCAAAAATGAAGAAAAAATATCAAATATTAAAAAATGAATTATAAATAAATAATTAAAAATTTA